GGGCCTGCTCCCCCACCGTTCCCAAAGATACAGGGCAAGGGAATAGTGTGGGCTAATCCCGGGGGCAACTGTCTCGGCTCCCACCACACTCAGTGCAGGCATTAGGTGGGTCACTAATCCTGCTGCTGTTGTAGGCATTTGTTGGAACTCAACTGCTTGCTTGCTTCCCCCCCCCCCAAATGCCGGTTTTCCTTCCATTCTTCCTGTATGCCTTATGCTAAGGGTTGCATATAGTGCTGTGGAGGTATTATGTAGCTGTATTTAAAAAGGGAATAGGGCAATATAGGCTTGAACCACTTTGAGTCTGTACCAGCTCCAGGTGGGCAATTTGTAATGTTTGTCAATGGTTAGGGATGCAAATTACTTAACAGCGACGGAGGTGAACGCGGTGATGCCTTCTGCACCGCGTGTGCCAAGGTAAATGTTTATCTGAGAATCAGTCGCAGTTGCATATTTCCAGGTGTGTGGCAGCTTTTAATGTAACTGACAGCTGGTGCTGAGACGAAGGATCAGCACCGGCCCCGCGTTAACCAGCCTGCTGCAAACCCACGGTGAAGGGTACCGAAAGGGTTGTGGGGAGGAGAGCACGGTTACGGCAGGGGCAATGCAGAAATGCTCTAGCAGAGAGAGGAGTTGCAGCGGAGCTGCCAAAGCCCCGCGTTTGTGGAGACTTGGCTTTATGCCCCTTTTTATGTGGTGAGTCCTGGACTCCCTCTCTGGTATTGTGGAGGGTGAGAAAGAGATGGGTCAGGGCCCTCGAATATATCCTGAAATGCACAGGAAGATGGAAATATCTACTTTTAGACGTTAAATTTTTCCAGATAGGGATTGCTTTGTTTGCTGTGATATGTGCGGCACCAGGAAAGCTTGCTGGAGTACGGCAAGTGCCTTGGGAAATGTAGGAGAGAGGCAGGGGAAGGGGGGATGCTCGTGACCTTGCCCAGCTGAAAGCCGCCTTTGTGCTCCAGCGAAGTGGCTGTTTGTACAGGCAGAAAGGGCTCCCGAAGGCTGTGGGAGTCTGCGTAGGTGCAGCAGTCTGCCCAGGCACGATAAATTGCAGATTTAGGTCTATAAATAGGATAAATACTACGGGCATGAGGTGCTGAGATACCTAGGCGATATGAAATCCTAGATAGAGCGAGCTGACATGGAGACAGTGGAAATGAGCCAAGTGGAGGGGAAGCACCCTTGAAATTATAGAAGGGAGAGTGGAAAAAGAAAAAAAAAATCTGAAAGTGGATTCCGTTACTTTTTGAACAGATTTTTGGAAGTAGTGCTGAATTCTTTCTTTGGCAATGTCACAGTCCCTTCTTCTGTATAAGAAAAAGGACATTATTATAACCCAAATTATCAGGAGAGATAAAAGTAGCTGTTTCTGTCTCCTGCTAAAACCCCCTTTTGATGTCTCATTTTTAAGCCTGGACTCATTTCTTTATTCCTCTTTGTTAAAGTGCTTCCCTCGTACAGCATTAGCAGGACCTGAAGCAACATGAAGTTGAAGTTTGTTTTACAAGGAGCTGTGGTTGCAGTGTTCAGCTGCTTTAATGTACAGGTTTTTTTTAAAAAAGAACCTGAAATAATTTTATTATCTAGAATACGCGGAACAACGTTGAAGTGTAGTAACAAATTTCTTTTACTTTTGAAAATTATGCTTTGCATATGTGTGCTGGGTCAACAGCAATTGCCGTTTGAAATGAAATATCTGAACAATCCTTGAAGCAGAGCTTCACCAAAATAACCTGATGCAGCCACGTCACATGCAGCTTTGATCTTTTTGATTTTCTTACATTATAAGGATCAGCCCTACTCAAACTGAGGTTGTATTGTATTGTCTAAATAATAAGTGAATGAAGGAACAGCCGGGTTTCTGCGAGAGAATTTGTCACTTGAAAATTGACAGGAGCCATGTTGCCTGAAGCAGTAAATTTAGAGGACTGGAAATCAAGCGTGTTGAACTTTCAAACTCATTTCTTATACATAGTCTTGGAGCTCATCTGTATTCTTGAGCATCCACTCTGTACTCTCGAGAAACAGACCACGTTTTTTCAATCAACACCCTAAAAGCAGCTCATGCCCAAACGGCACTTCCCTCCTCCCTTCCCAGGCAGGGCAGAGTCCCAGATCAGCGCTCTCGTTTGTCAGGAATTTTGACGGACTCCAGATGAGCAGATAACACAGGAGTGGTTTTACATTACAGCAATGTCTTCAGAGCCGTGTCAAAGTCAGGGCCAGGTTGTGTCAGGTGCTGGCCGAAGAGAATCCTGCTTTAAGAAAATCATGTTCTGCATCCACAGTGTGAGCAGATGACGAGCCCAAACGCTTCACATTATAAAGATTAGGCTCTTGTTGGAAGAGAAAGAAAATATTGTTTCACTTTAAGGGAAGGGAAGCTAAGACTTGAATTCCTTAGTGACTTCAAGGAAGTTTGTGATCAAGTGGGC